AGCTCACTGATGAAACATCATTAGTCAATTTCGAGCCTACTCGGCTCGAGGTACCTAAAGCAAGCAAGATGAGGCTTTTGAGTCTCAAATGTAACTCTTCTCAGCTGCTGAAATATGACCTGTTCGAACAGATATCGTTCTCTGACTAAAACCAGCTTCAAATAATGTTTCAGTTTCTCGTAATCCATGATTGATCCAAGAGTAGTTCAACACAATCAATGATAGATCAATAACAAATCAGTTGAAACTGTCCGACAATGGCTAGACATATTGACACTGTTTCACTAGACTTTGTTAGACACAAGACTACACTTTGACTGTGTGATGACTGAAAAGCAGTAATAAATTATGTCAGATCGATTGCTTGAAATACATAATTGGTGACTAACTTGATAAGTCATAACTGGAAGAATGAATAATAGTCAATGTTTGAAAGTAAAATGCTATAAATGGTTCATTTTTTAACCGGATTCACCTTAAATGGAAAAGAATGGAAATGAAATTGATTTAACAGTTTTTTTTCATCATTACTTTCTCTCTTCTTATGTTTACCTGTAAACTATAAACTTTTACTTGAACCATAATCATCTTCTTAGTGTCCATTAATCTGACCAGTTAACCATGAAAAGATGTTATCCATTTCATTAAAAAGACTTTATATCAAAAAGGAAAATGAACATTTCAAGCTTTTACTCATTGTTTTTTCTTCCTTTGTCCTTCTTGCAGTCTTTCATTCAAGATTGTTTCCCATTTCATCATGATCATTATCAAATTAGCTTTAAAATTGATGAGCTGGAAATGAGAAAATAACAGTAGAAAGTATCTATTGAATGAAGCAAAAAAGTTTCAAAAAAACTTGATTCTCTACAACACCTTGACCTTGCAATGAACCAAAAAGTTTGGTGAAAATTTTTCATCAAAATTCAATATTCTATGGAATTTGTTTACATGAGTTTGTTGGTGTTGGTGCATTTGAACATAATAGTTCATTTTTAATGCAATTTTCAGTTTGTTTGGTTAAGAGTTGCCTCTTGCTGCTAATGAATTAATGAGCTTTGAAAGATTGTTTCGTGATTATTGCATGGTTATGATGATTAAGTTCAATGTGAGCAACATAGTTGATCAAGTAATACAATTAACAGTCTATCAAGCACAAATTAAGTTACCTTCAAGGTTTACCAAAAAAACGGTGAAATCTCAAGTCAAGGGAAAATTAATCAATTAGGTAATCGAAAAGCTGGAAAAATGATTTCTATTTGAAACATGACTTTCATTAGCAAACCTCGAGTTTACTAGCAAATGATAATACAATAATGTTGCCAACATTTTCGATATCAAGTTGGTGAATCATGATTTAATGAAAAGTTTCGTTGCAAAATTATGAGCTTTTGAGCGACCATGAAAAAATCATTCAAATAGAAATGAAATCTTTTCTCAAGTTGGCTCTTGAAGCCATTTCTGGCGTTAGTCAATGCGTTAGTGCTAAAAATCAGACTTCTCTCAACCATCGGTGCTAGATGAGTTTGTCACTTATCATAGAACTACAAATGACATAATTTTTTCGATATCAAGCTTATTCTATTCCACTCGATTCCATTCTGATGATGCTGAGCTAGGTGAGGTACCAGTTGATGTTGGTCCTGATGATGAATCTGAAGCTGCTACTGATGATCTTGAAGATCCTGAAGACTCGCTTATTCGACCTTTGATCAACATTCGAAGGCCATTTTTTTAAATCGCTAACTCTTATCGACAAAATATTCTTTTGGTCAATTCTTGTTACATCTTCTTTTCCTCTGAGTTTTTCGTTGTTTTAAAAAGATACGATTATTTGAATCAATGTGTTCATTTCAATGAAATTGTTTGAGCAAAAAATGCAACAAATTTTGACTTTTTGTTGCTTCTAAAAGTCGATAATTGTGTCAACTTATGGTTGCATTGAGGATCCTTGAAACTTTTCCTTATTCCCTTCTTGATTCTGTTTATCATCAACTCGACTCATTGCTCAAGGCTTAGGGCAAGAATCAAGAATAGGAATATTAGAGAAAGAAAACAAGAAGAGAAAAATGGTTCCAATTAATTTTACCTAAAATTGTGAATAAGTGCAAGTGAAAGCAACAAAATTTAGGTAAAAGAAAAGAAAATTAGAAATGGAAAGAAGAAAAAGAAGAAGAAGAAGAAAAGTTGAAAATGTGTTTCAAGCAAATTCAATAATGTAACCAAAAAACAAGGTGAACATTTGACTTGAGACTGATGAAGATGAAATGACACGGAAAAATGATGGAAACATGGACTAGAAAAGAATAGTAATGTAAAATGCTTTTCCATTAACTGAAGCTCATGTAAAAATGAATAATCAATATAAATGAAAGACAAATCAAGTTGACAAAATAAAATGATGAAAAAAGCATTAAAAGTCGCAAACACTGAGGCTAAATATCATGCAAAGCACAATATCAATTTTAAGCTTTTCACATTTACAACCATTTTTACACCAACTTTATCCTCATTCAATTGGTGAAAGGTAAACAAGGAATAAAAACTTATACTGTCACATCATTTCACCATCAAATTGATTATGAAGGCGAAGAAAAGAGTTTCATTCTTCTTTTCAACCTGACATTTCCACAGAACTTTTCGTCTCCATTTCTCTTCTCTTTTAATCTCATTGAATAAAGCAGCAGCAAGAAAAAAAGCAAACCAAAAGAAAAAAGAAGATGAAGAAAAATAAGAGTTTTGATTATATCAAGTGAAAATTTTGGTTTCGACTCTTGCAGAACAGAATCGAGAAAATCTCGGAGAAAATGAAGAAAAAAAAATTTATATTCACCTGTTTACCTGAAAGCAACAAACAAAAAGTGATTTGAAAAAGCAAACAAACGATATTGCAAGATGAAAGAGCTTTGACATTTCATTCCAATAAACATTTTAATCTGTTGAGCATTTCATTTTGCCCAATGAGCCTTATCCTGTTGCAAAAAACATCTCAATAACCACCAACAATCGCTGTAAAATTGACTCGACAATTAGATGCAATTAAATTTCATTCCATTCTTTTCTACATTTTTTGCAATTCTACACTTTTTTTTCGTTTCAACTTTTTTCACCTCTTTCAATATTGAACCATAAATACACATGAAACAACGTAAAATGATTATCTTGTACCTTCCTTGGTTGATACAATTTTACTATGAAATTGATGAGAACATCATTTTTTCTGGCTTTTTCTTTTACCAACTTGTTCATTGGTTATCACTTTTTCAGTCTTGATTCATTAAACATTCCATAAAGAGTATCATCATCATCATCATCATCATCATTTTTGCTCTTTTCAATTTTCCAAAGTTTTAGTTGAGAGAAGGAGAGAAAAATTTTTTTCTCAGAATTGATTCTAAAAGAGGAAAGAGGAAAAAAATGATATTCTTTCATTTTCTTTATTTTTGCAACCTTTTTCTCTCCATCAGTTTCCACCTTCGTCAGAATCATCTTTTTCTTCCTATTCAGGGAAAAAAGATGAGAGAGAAAAGTTTGAAAACTCAAAGTTACACTTGTTTTTTTTTCTTCTTCTTCTTCTGCCTTAACCATTATTTACGCCAAGCGAATCGTTCAACTTGACAGTTTCTCTCCTTCCTCATTTTCATTGTCTTTCACTCTCACCCTCAACACTCTCTGATCAACTGTTCAGTTAATTATTAAACCCGATTGCCATTCACACAATTCATTGATTCAAATTTGAGAGCAAGAAAAAAATGAGTGAACACATAATTTAAAAAAAACCAACCTTCACTATTATTATCATTATAATGGTTATACATTTTTGTGTTGAGCTTCTCTGTCCTTTTATTGCACTCTTTATCATTTGAAAAAGTGAAGAGCAACCAAGAAAAATAAGTTTCAGATAATGATGAAGAGACCAAGGGAAAAGAGTAGCAAAATGATGAAAAAAAGCGAAAACAGGTAACAAAAAATGTTATCATGAACTTCAAACAGTATTCATTTTGTATCATTAAAGATAATCTCACAATTTTTATAACAAGCCTTTGTTTAGTTATCGTGTTTTCCTTCAACTCTCATTTTCTTTTTTTTACCTTTTCTTCTTCTTCTTCAAACTACTTTTTTCTCTCTCTCTTCAATTAGATTCCATTTCTCACTTGATCATCATTTTTGATGACTTTTGGTTATTGCTGTCACTCACATCATCACTGCCTTTATTAGATGAGCCATGTTTATGCAGGTGAATGAAGAGACAGTAAAAAAAATGAAGTTAATCAGTTCTCTTGGAATGTGCTTATCATTTGATCCTCAAAAAAGCATCTTCTTTGTCATCATCCAATTACTTCCGGGAATATCCTGTTGACCCTTTGATCAGGTTTCAATGTTGCCTTTGGCAAGAATGAGTGAGCAATAATAAAGAGCAAGAAAAAACAAACTAATGATAGCATCAAGGCAAGTACAAGAGCAAGTAGCAAACAATCAAAGCTGTTAAAGACTTGTCCAGTTACAGTTAACCTTAACATGGTCCATCTGTTGACGATAACTGCTAAGTGATCAATAAACTGTGTTATTAATAACAATTGCAGGCATAAACTGATAACCAAACTGCCAACATACGCAATCATGAAATGACTAAAGAAACGTCACCAAGTGAACATAAGCACACCATGTGACACTAGACTTGTTCAACATCATGTAACAGTTCCATCAGCTAATTAAACCCATGAAACAATCAGTGATATCAATTGACGTAACCAATTTGTAGCAATTTAGATTTCTGCTTATCAACATTGATATTGGAAAAGCTTGAGTATCTGATTTGTTGGCTTATTTGGATTAATCTCGGTTTTTAGATTAAATGGCAATTCTGTTTTTAGGCGATGCTGCAAATGATTATTCAGCAATGTTGAAATTAATTACGACGTTGGTGATTTAATGGTCAGATTTTTTTGTGGACATTCTGAATTTTCTCCTTGGGTGAAATAATGGTGATTAATGAACAATTGTTTGAATTTCAATAAAATTAACATTTCAAGTTTTATTATTAAAAAAAGATCTAGTAATCACAGCCTTCTTTTTTTTCATTTTGTGTTGATAAATACACGGAGGTAAAAGATAGGGATGAAGAGGGGACAGATGAAGGAAGGGGCAATGGATGAACATAAATTATGAAAAATGAAAGTTTAGTTTACATGTTTAGATGAGGGGCGATGAGCACAAAAGAATGGGAACAAGTTAAGGAATAGAGTGATAGAGGAAGAAAAATATGGAAGAGAAAAGAAAAGTAGAGGATAAATGAAGACGAGTTGAGTAGCTTTGCACTGAAACTCACCCAATGTTATGTGAAAAACGTCAACCTTGTCTGATAAATCCTTTGCTCTTGTTTCCTCTTTCTTTCAATTATTTTGTATAATTATTTATAATAAAAATTTTACATCGTTGATGTGCATTGGGTAAGCATTGAGATGCCTTTGATGATAGAATTGATTGAGAAGAAAAAAAACAAGAGAAATTTTCTCCAATTTCAATTGGAACATTTCTTTTTTTGTTTGCTGGTGCTATTTACTTGAAGTAATTTAGTTTAAGCATTAAAGAGTGTAAAAATTAAAAGTTAAACGATTAAAAGGTGTTAAAAAATTAGGATCCCAAAGAGGCTGATGACCATATTGAGCCAAGAGGAGATGAGGATAACGATGAAGATGACAATGAGGATGAAGATGAGGATGATGATGATGATGATAAGGCAGATTGTGGAAGTATAGTTGGTGGCTTTTGCTGAGTTTGTAGTGTTGCTTGATGCTCATTCGATGGTGACTCGAAGAAACCAAGTTGACTTAAAGCTGCATTTGAATTGGCAATTAACTCATCTTTGTATTTCCATATTGTTGTATCTCGAGTTGTGTAAATCCTGAAATCGGTTTTACATGAGTTTTTCAAGGGACCCACACAATCTTTACGGTAATGTTGAAGGTGAGCAAGGGTAGTGTTTATGGAATAGGTTGTACAGGAACCAAAACAATTGAGGGGAAAATGATTATGAAGAGAGACCACTCTCTCGGTATTATGGAAACACTTAACATACTGTCCAGGTTTAGTGTAATTACGAGATCGGTAAACATGTTGAAGCATGTGAAGATAGGTAGGTATTCCTGGCTCATGGCCAGTATGTTTCATCTGTTGTTCACCAACACCAAGGTCGTCAAGAAAATAGGCATTACGAACATTATAACTGGCTCTGGAATAATTTTTCTCTTTTAGTGATTCACGTTCAACAACGCCCATCAACTCTGACCAATTGTTGTGTTGAATGGGCATAATAACTTCATCTATGTCCAACAATGCTAGATATGAATAGGAATAGAGATTGCGATAGAGACAATCATTATAAGGAATCAATTCGTTTTGTCGTTTAGCAGTCAACTTGTTTTTAAGGTAAAGATGTCTGAAACCGGGTAAATTGGGTTGATCTCCGGGTAAAGTAATGGGTGTTAATTCAACGATCCCTTGGTTTTGATAGTAATGTAAAACTTTGGATATGTTTGAATGGATTTCCATTTCATAAAGGAAAATCTTTTTCGCTCCGAGAATTTTCAACAGCTCAATCCATTCGATTAAACGTACACTGAGATCTTCATGTAAAAAGTCGAGACCTTTAACGCAAACGGCAAAATCTTGTTTAACTTCGGGTCGATTGTTGAAGACGCGAAGATTATTTCTAGGTTTTTGACACTTTGATTCAACCAGGGAAATAGAGTCAGGTGCGGGTGTAGTTTTCTTGGGAAAACCTTTTATCCGTGGTACTTTACAATTAATTACATACGGTTGGAGTAAACCATCTTTGTAGTTGCCCCATTTAGAGTACCATCCATAGGTATAAGTGGCTTGACTGACAATGGGTCCGGCAATGCTGTCAAACCAGAGAAGACAATAAGTCGGAGGTGGTTTGACACGGTCAATCATGGCTAAGATACGGACAGAAGGTAAGGGGCCACCTCTCCAACGGTCATCGTAATAGGCTCCGTAAAGGTAAAAGGAGCCATTGGATGTTTCGGCTTTTTGCCAGTAAATGTTGTTGTAATCAAGTTCAAATAGACTTGGAAATTCAACTCGACATGTTTCACCTCCTCCCAAAACATTGGACTTACTATTTTTGGGTCTTTTTCTAATCTTATTCCAATAAGCTAATGGCAAGTTGGAAACATTTGCTAGTTGAAGGAGAATCTCTTGTTCGTTGAGTGTAGGTGAAGTATCAACTTGAACTTTTGGTTGTTGGGACACAAAATTTTGATCCGATGAATCAACTTGTTGAAAGTTATTAAATCCATTTGACACTTTTGATGATTTTGATGTTGTTGCACTGTGATAGGAAACAAATCCAGTAACGTAGTCCAATGGGTTGTTTTGGAGAAGACCCCTCTGACCACCAGGGTTAGTTAATAATGGACCACTATTTAAACCTAAATAATCATAACTTTTATCACGGGGATTTGTTGCTAAACGAAAAACTAGAAAACAAACACAAGTCCACAAGAACGCAAAATATATTAAACGTTTATAAGCTCGTCCAGCATAAATAAATTGTATCATTATGGCTGACAAAGTTTAATACAATGAGTTGAAGAAGACTTCAGACTTTCAGATTGACTGCATCTTTTCATCTGTTCAGCCTAGATGGCGCTATAAGTGGAGCAGTGTCCTCTACAGGGTAAGAGGTAAACTAATTTCTGCAGCTTTATTAAAGCCAAAACAATAAAAATTAGCCGAAATCGATGGCGGCAATTTTAAAGATTCGGCTGATCATTCCATAACCAGCAATGCTAACCGGCGACTATCAAAAGTTTATCAAATACCTTCAAGCATAGCATAAGGTATGACTCGTAATGTTTGGGACTAATTTTTAAAATTGAATTTCGACAATTAGACTGAACTCACAGGCAGCATTCAAACGTCAAACGAAGGATCACTTCGTAAAAATTAAACCAATTTTTTGAGAAGTTGTCAAGTTATGGCCTTAAGTATTGGAGATTATTACAAAATAAAAGATACAGTCACTTTGCTGTTGTTGATGAGATCGTGTCATCTCTCAAATCTCTTGGATTATTAGAAATCGAAGTCCTTTTTTGAAAAAGTCTTTTTCAATCGACGCTAATCTACATCCAAATTAGCTGGGAATTCACCAGAAAGGGAAAATGAATAATCCAGGTGGCTTAATCTGGGTAAGTATCAAATCATGTACATACAAGAGATAATGATAATACCAGGAAAGATTTATAAGAAAAGTTTCAATCTTAAACAACAGAAAAGGTTGACATTTGATTGAAGCAACTGGTTCACTTTTTGCTTCTGAATCGGCTGCTTGTTCTTGTTGGTGCAACAAATTTTAGATGCAAAAGTTGTACCATCATCTTCATTTGATCCCAGATAATTATTATCATTATCCTCATCAAGATCACCTCCATCCTCATCCTCATCATCTGGATACTCGACTCCATTTGAACCAATCAACTTCATTGATTTCATATTGTCCATCAAACAGCCACTCTTTGAATAAATGTAACCATGAATATGATAATTATTATCATCATCAATCACATCAGTGTTGCTCTCCATATCTGACATTTTCATTGCTATTATTAAGACTGTTTCTTCAAATATTATCATTATGTTACTGTTATTAATCTTTGGGTTATTTTGCTTTGAATTGAAATAAAAATGAATCATTCTAAATATCATTAACAATTAAAACTGAAAAATTTGTTCAAGGAAGGAAGACCTGAAATTTTCATTCTTCACGTCTTATGTGACATCTATTTCGTTACAATTGTAGCAATAACTTTTTTCCATGATTCGAGAGAAGTGATGTTCGTAAAGATTATAATTATAGCCATTCCCAAAGTAATTGGATCAGGTAGAAGCATCAAAATAATGTTGAAAAAAATAGAAATCAAAACACAGACTTGGCAACCATTATTGCCAACTCTAAAGCCTAGATCTCAAAATAAGTGAAAGGGTTAGACAGAGGTGATGAAGATTAAGATGTTGTATTTGAAACAATGTATATAAATATAAATTAACTTACAACTTGTTAGTCTACTACAAGTCTACGAGTCTTGTTTCAGCGAACTAAATTCATGTTTTGATTTTAATTTGATCTTTGATTATTAAAGATGTTTTTTTATTTGATTTGTTTTTGATTAAATTTTAAAATTCGTTTTACAGGCTAATAATTATTTACCCTAAATGATTATGTTTGGTCTTCCTTTGAAAGTCATCTGCTCCATCCGATATTGAATGCAAACTGCGAGTTTTCGAAGTAAAAGTATTCTTACATTTTCCCGTATCAAAATCCTTTTTGCAATAATTTTGATTCCCCGAAGAACCTAACCAGAAATGAAAAGCAAAATGTCAAAAGATGAAACTTTCTTTCAAAGTGTCTCAAAGACGCTCAAGTGAATCATCAAAATTTTTGCAAACTTTAATCAAAAAATAATTAGACAAATGAACCAAAATTGAGTTTCATCTTTTACCAAACTTGCAAAATCGTAGATCAAAGGACATTAAAAGGGAAAAAAAGTTAACAAATGACTAAACAATAAAATTATTGCGAGAGTTATAATTAGATATAAAATATTCGATATGAATAGTCTGTTTTGCTTGTGATCCTAATGATAATTATGGTAAACTGAAGAAAGAGAAGAAGGTTACAAAACTGTTCACCTTTTCATTCGTTTTTCTCTCTTCTTCTTGCAGAAATATCATCTCATTACTGAATCAAACTGAAGAGAAATATCTGTGGATGAGCTGTTCAAATTAAACGACATCATGAAACCTGGCACTAGGATAAATTCCCATTAAGCTCCTTCAAGACTTTTCCCCAAATGACAATGAAGAGTAACCCAAAAAACCCTGAAACTAATTCCTGATATTTTTACCAAAACAATGTTATAGCTCAACTACACTGAAATCCAATCTCAACTACAATCCCTGAAAAAAACCATCTGCCAAAAAATCCAATAACTTCCCTAGTAATATCCCTTAACAGTTGCGGCTTCTAGACAACAGTTCCTTCTGTTGTGTGAGAACCGGTGGCTACAGGAGTCCCATGGAGTGGGCATGAGTCTAGCATGGCCTCTAAGCCTGAGACTCTTTCAATGAATTCGAATTTGAAGTCAACTTGGATTCTTCGAGTCACCATCGAATTAGCATCAACAAACATATGAAACTCAGCAACTACATGTATATTTCCACAACCATACTTCCAGAAGTTTTAAAAATGAAAACTTGATCTCTAAATTTAGTTAAGCAGTTTTGCTAATCACACTAAAGAAGCCACCGGTTGTTGAGAAATATTTATCAGCCAAAACCATTTTTACGGGGTTCTGGTATATCTGTCGAGATTATTAATGCATCGTTTTCTAATCTGATCATGTGAGAGCCGTTTACGTTATCATTCATGTAACTGCGTAATCCTTATATAGAAATGTCATTACCTCGTCGATAGACCAAAAAATCGATCAAAATGACCTTTGAGTTATGCCTGAATGAAGGCGTAAAATGAAAAAAACGTCCGGTAGATTAATTAGTTAAGAGTTAAACAAAGCAAGGAAAGATAGTGAAATCAGTAAAAAATTAGAATTTAATCGTAACCAGATTTTAATTAAGCTATCTTTCTTGTCAACTTTGTAACTTGTTCTTAATTCTACATTTAACTCTCTTCTATTCTATGTTGCGCCGCGTGATCCCCCTCATGCGATGAATTCGAAGATATTACTAAACCAGAATTCATGGAATAGCTTGATCGTTTTTTTGGTCAATAAACGTCAATATCAAATTTCTCTTCTGTGAAATCTTCAATTTCTTCTAATGTCCGTTGGCAGTCATCATCAATGTAACTTTGCACTTCATCAATTTGATTTGAATTGAGTTACTTTAGTCGATGACCTCTTTCTCTTACCGAATCTCCAAATTTCTTGTATCGAGTGATCACTGATCTAACTGAATGAACATTCATACCAAAAGTATTGACAAGATCACATATTAATTTTCCATCATTGTAGCCTTTAATAATCAATTGTTTTAAATCATAACTCAATTTTTGGTATGGCCTAGACATTTTACGCTATTTTGAAACAAACAATTACTAACTAGGGTGGAAGAGAAGTAACTTTTACAAATGCAAAAATGGACTTTTTCATTTGAAAATGTAGAGCTTAAATGTACGACGCGCTCAACAAAATTTAAACGGTTTAAGATTAGACTTTTCCAACTGAAAAAGTATAGTTTTCTAACCGAAAAACACTGTAAATTTGAAAACTATGAAATAAATCAAAAAAGGCCAACAAATCAGCGTTTACACAAACTATTCCAATATCAATATTGATAGTTACATAACTCAGTGAGTGATAACCGCTGGTTATTACAACTGATATTTTTGTTTATTGGCATTAGTTATTGGAACGGTTTGTTAACCAAGAAAAATTGAATTAAATGAATTAAATGATGAATAATTTGTTTTCACGTTGATATTTTAATGATTTTCGAGCCTTTTCTCAATTCAATAACAATCGGATCATCATCTTTTTTTCGTTTAGGCGCTTTGATTCTTTTCTCGGCAGTATCTTCTTCTTCATCTTCATCTTCTTCCTCTGTTTCCACCTCCTCTGTAATAGCATTGTCCTTCTTTTCAATTAAATTTAATTGACTTGAACTGGAAATGTTCTGGTCAACGTTAATAGGTTCTAAAGCCGCTGAAACAGCTAAATGTGTTGCCTTTGAGTCTCGTATGTAGCTTTCCAGTGCATTACTGTGATGACCAGTTCTAATAGCCACTGTCCTTTGACTAAATCCAGCTTCAAGCATTACAGAAGCAGAAGTGGCCCGTAAGCCATGATTAGAAATGTTCCTTTGATCATCTATTCCAGCAGCGTTGAAAATAGTCTTTAACATGCTGCCAATAGTATTGATACCGATAACAGCAACAGCAAAACGAGGCTCTTTACCAGGCAATGCTTTGCGGTAAAATTTACCAGTACTGACTGGCAAACAAGAAATATATTTTTTAATAATTTTGTAATATGAATTTGGATTTTCGGTATCGAATAAAATTGAATAAATTGAATTAAATTAAGAACTAATAATCAGACAAAATGATTTGTATAAAATAAGAAAGTGAATCTGTAAAGAAATTAATTTGTATGGTAATCAATAGACATTGAAATATGTAAAAATCGTATAGATGTGAAATTTAAATAATTGAATTGATTTACTAATAATCAGTTTAAGAATTTTTTCAAGATTCAATGAGAAGCAATCGGTAGATAACAATTAGCTACTAATAATGTTCCAATAGCCTATTCAGAAATCAATCAAAATTCAATTGAACCATAAAAGAAGAGCAATTAAGAATAATTGTCACCACGAGATTTCATCATATACAGACATGCATACCTTTTGAACCATTCCAATCGAGATGGTTAACAATTCTAAAAATTTTCTTTACCTTTGGACCTGCAAATGTTTATTAAAAGATGATCATGATATTACTGACTAATTGTTTTATGGGTTTAATTAGCTGATGGAGCTGATGTTATATAAAGAAGTCTAGTTTCGTATGATGTGCTGATGTACACTTATCACAGACAATTGAGACATTTATGGTTGCGTATGTTTTGCTATCAAAGTGGTTATCAATTCATGCTTAAAATTGTTAGTAACAAAGAAACTGCAAACGAGTCGAAGTACGTTTACTGCTGCTTTCAACTGTAAATCAATGTATGAAATGATGTGTTTTTGACTTGTTTAAGTGATAGTTAAACCACTGCATCGAGAAGTTATGAGATATAAACTCGAGGGCGAAGCCCGAGAGTTTTATCTCATAGCTTCGAGATATTGTGGTTTAACTGATTTAAACCACTATGTAATCTAATCTCAACACCTTTTTTACAATTTTCAAGACAAAATTTTCTCTTGGTTTTCCATTGCTTTCAATGGGTTTTCCTATTTTCATTTTAGGTTTCTTATCATTTTCATTTTCATTTTCATCAGTTCTAATCACTCTCTTTATCACTGTCTTTTGGTCAAACTGTGCATATTTGGTTAACAGTGTTAGTTAACTATTAAGTTAACCAATTTCAGAAAGGCATCATTTATACAATTTAATCATTTGATTAAATACTGGTTACCCTAAACGTAGTGGTTTAAATGAAAGTAAACAAACACAAATCACAATAATTGCAATAATAACTCAATCATCTTGAGTTGTATCATGAAACTTTGTTTTAGAAATGCATTTTAGGAAAAACGCAGCACAAATTAAAAGCATAAATTGTTTATTTTACAATCATCTGCTCCGTTCAAGTATAAGAAAAGATCTTACAAGGGAAGTGGGGCAAGTGTACAGTGAGAATTGGATGAAAAGTGTATAATTCTGTTATTCAGCATCTGAAGTCTGCAAATAGTTGGTTAGCATAGAAAGTTGAGAATGAAATTGTTCTTTTCTTATTCAAAATTCGTTCAAAGAGCATAATAAATAAAATAAAGTAAATATAATCGTATATTTAACCTCGCGTTACTTTTCAAAGCTCATCATTTAAATCTGAATAAGTCTTTCCCTGCTTTAGTAAAAATGTTATTGTTAATCATCCAAATAATATACAGTGCCAAATTTGTGTAAGAATTGAAACTAAACGGAAAGGATTTCAATGAAATTTTCTGCCAAGTTTGAAAGCCACGATTGAGCTACATGTCCGGAAATTAGTCAGAGATTAATCAGAATTCAGGCTACTAGAAAATTCACGTTTGCACAGGATAGGGAGAAAAATGCAGAATCCATATCATGCAGCATTGTGTTTGGGTGAACTATTTGGTTATTCAGGTTGATGGTTAAATGTTGGACTATGAATATATGAAAAACTGTCTTTCGAGTAAAGAGTTTGGTGAAAAATCTGGTGCATCAAATGTACATAAAGAGACCAAATTTGAAATCAATTTCGTCAATGTCCTCCACTGAAAATTTTAATTCAAAATTTGAGTCTTTAAATGTGAATTTGTGATCAGTCATGATCGGAAGATCCCCTTGTAAAAATTGACTTCAAAATTGGGTCTTCAGATGGGGCATTAAAATATCATAACTTATCATTGAAATAAACTTTACCAAAACTTGGCTCCTTAAAACCTTCCACTCACAAGCGAAATCTTCTCTTATTTAAATAAGTAATTATTATAATAAGATTGGAATATTGCAAAAAAATCATTAATAAAAGCCGAAAGATACATGCGAACTGGTTGAGCATATGCAACGCACTTTGTTTTTTTTGTAAACACACCAAATTTTTATCAAAATGGATACTTTTTAGTTATTGCAATGTTTTCAATCAATCTCGCCACTTCTTCTCGGTTATTTGAAGTCTTCATTTGTTTTGAAATTTCCTCAATTTTTGAGCGAATCTCGGTATTTTCAAGTAAATCGTCAACAGTCTTATGGATTTCATCTTCATCATATCCAAATGGATCGATTCTGTATCCAAGTTTCAAATCTTCAATCCTTTGTGCGTTATCCAGTTGATCAAAGCAACACGGAATTACAATCATTGGTTTACCAAAGAAGAGTGACTCAACGAATGAATTATTTCCACCGTGAGTTATAACCACGTCAACTTTGGGTAAGATAGCGATTTGATCGACATAATTATCGCCCCACATGTTTTCAGGTAAAGCCAACTCATCACCTTTAAAGCCTTTCGAGACGATGAAGCGATGTTTACTCTTAGAAAAAGTGTTGAGTAAACGCTTCATGAAAGATGTGTTCTGAGATCCTGAAGTCCCCATTGACAAGTAAATCAATTTCCCAGACTGATTTGTACTAAATTGTGGAACAATAAATTCTTTTGCATCACGTGTACGAATCGAAGAGTCTATGCCAATCCAATTTGGAGGCGGCGATCCTAATTCAACATAGTCTATCGCTTTTGGGTAGATATAAATACCAAGAAATTTGTCCGAATTATAAAAAGAAGTTGTTATGATTCCAAATGAAGAATACCACTGAAAGTATTTCTTGCATACTTCTAGACATTTTGATGATAACTTTTCTAAATGGCCTGACCACGAACTTTTATCACTATGGACAGATAAACCCAGTGAAGCTGGAAATCCTGTTGTCTCCGAATAAAGTGTTAATGGATTGGCTGAGAACAATAATATGCTTGGAATTGAAGATTGATAGAAGAGTGGAATAGGAAAAAGAATATCACCAATCAGAATATCTGGGTTTATGGAATCAATTATTTTTTGCAAACTTGAATTCAACAGCTGTAGCTCATCAAAGACCAGCGACATAGAGGCAATGGAGCTTTCGTCTTCAGCTAAAGGCGAAGTTAACTTTAGTTGCATGCTTTCCACTACGATTTCCGTCCATTTACTTTTATTTTTCGTTTCCATTTCTTTAAATCTATCTTCGTAATCTTCAAGAGCAATGAATTTCAAACCGTATTTTTCAACTTCGTCTTTATGCTTCAATACATTGGCAAAATAAACATCATTACCACGTTCCAATAACAAACTTGCAACACCAAGAGCGGCATTAAAGTGCCCATAACTTGTGGAAACAAGCAATAAAAAAATATAATTAGTCAAAATTTAAGTGAGCTTATTTAGATAAACGAAAATATCAAAATGGTTCAGTAACTTACTATTGATAATTTAATTAAAAAATAGTTAACAGTGGCATATGACTTACCCATTGATTGATGTTACCAGAACTTTGATTGGACTATTGTTCATCTTGAATTTAGTTGTAACACTGTTTGTTGGATAGAAAATGCAATAATGATTGAAGATGAAACGAGGTTTGCTTTATAAACATTTTTAATATCGATATGAAATTATCTGATCTAATTCAAGAGATTACTTAATAACACCTCAAAAGGAGCAAAGAAAGAGATCTCCTCCTATTTTAAGGTCGTGCGACCTGCGATTAGTCAACCCATTGTGAAGCTTTTTAGAGATTAGACTGAATCTTATTGAAAACTCTGTCATATGAACGAGAGCAATTGCACTGAAATGCTTCAGTTTTAGGCTTGTTTTAGCAGTGCCACTTAATCAACGAAGAAGTTGTCTATTGTACAGTGTATTGTGCTATTAAGAATGAATTTACGGCGCTTAACATCTAATTACTTCCACAATTTATCTAGAAAATTAATCATATGATAATTGCATGTTATTATGTAACAAAGTTCATAGAGTTTTTAAATTTTCAACATACTCCATCAAGATTTCGTTATAAGGTATGACTCCTAATTTTTCAAAATTGAATTGCGACAGCTAGACTAGAGTTACAGGCACCTTTCAACCGTTAAAATGAAGGTACACTTCTCAAGAATATGTTGGGAAAAAATAAACTGATTTCGACCTGAATTTGTGAAGTTATGGTCTTAAATAAACAAACGCGTCAAAATCTGATTTGCCTTACGTCAAAAATCATATGGCCAAAAATGGCCTAACTTGGCCTCAAAATCGTTTGAAAAGATGTAAATTGGCTAATATCACTCTGCATATTTCGATTAAAAGGTTCAGGTCACCATCGAACTAATTTGCAGGGGCATTCGATAAAAAAAAAGCTTTTTAGTAAATCGGAAAAAGACTTTGTAAAAAAGGACTTCGATTTCGAATATTTCAGTAGATTGTTCCAAAATAAAAGGTCAGCACTTCATCAAAAATGCCAAAATGTCCTTCTGATCTTTTATTTCGAAATGATTTATTGAAATATTCTAAATCGAAGTCCTTTTTTAAAAAGTCTTTTTTCAATTTACGAAAAATCCTTTTTTAATCAAATGTACATGACATTTAGTTCTGATGTTGACCTGAACCTTTCAATAGACCTATGTTGGGTTATTGCAGTCAAATTACACACATTTTTAACAACATTGATGCCAAGTTTGGCCATTTTTGAGTTTTCAAAGTCCTGGTGTGAAGTTGAAAATATATGATTTTTGACGCGTTTGTTTATTTAAGCCCATAACTTGATAAATTCAGGTCGAAATCAGTTTATTTTTTTTCAAAATATTCTTGAGAAGTGTACCTTCATTTTAACGGTTGAATGGTGCCTGTAACTCTAGTCTAGCTGTCGCAATTCAATTTTGAAAAATTATTCCAAAACATTAGGAGTCATACCTTACAAGATCCATGTGAACGTTTGGATGATTAGGAAATCAACAAGACGATTTCATTCTTTTGAACATTCGAATAATGTCAACATGCTCATTAATGCATTCTTTACGGTTTTCATATAGACTTGTTCAATGCTCGATTTTTGACAATATTTGTAATATCGTAATATTTATTTATTTTCGCGTATTGCAAGTTTTACAGTATAACAGTATTTGCTTTCAAATAAAATTGATGTTGAATCTTTATGAAGTCGTAAATGATCAAATGATCACAGGAGATATTTTTACATGGCTTTAGTCGAACGCGATTGAATTTTCAGATCAATACAAGGTCTTTGATTATAAGATTTGAATGACCAAAGATAGACTGATCGTGAACATGAGACAATTCAAAGATAAAATCTTTTCAATTATCCGTTTAATTGCTCTTCACCCATCTGGTTCAAGTAAAAATGGCAAATAATCATAATTTCGGTTCGTACAGTATACTATCAAATCAAATCCATCCTCAGTACGCACAATTTCGGTAAAACGCGTGCTATGAAGCCATTAGTCAGTGATTTTGAGTCTTTTTTTGATAATGAAATCAAATTTAACTATTTTTATATCTACCAATTATTTCATTTTGCTGCTACTTTAAAAGGACCTTTTTTGTTAAATCTCGTCTTCTGAATTGATGTTGATAAAATACTGATTTGCTCGAACTGTGCTTAATAGCAAGTACAGGATAGAACTATTATATTCATGGATACTTTTTAGTTCTGGCAATGTTTTCAATCAATCTTGCCACTTCTTCTCGGTTATTTGAAGTCTTCAATTGTTTTGAAATTTCTTCCATTTTTAAGCGAATCTCGGTATTTTCAAGTAAATCGTCAACAGTTTTATGAATTTCATCTTCATCATATCCAAATGGATCGATTCTGTATCCAAGTTTCAAGTCTTCAATCCTTTGTGCATTATCCAGTTGATCAAAGCAACACGGAATTACAATCATTGGTTTACCAAAGAAGAGCGACTCAACAAATGAATTATTTCCACCATGAGTTATAACCGCGTCAACTTTGGGTAAGATAGCGATTTGATCGACATAATTATCGCCCCACATGTTTTCAGGTAAAGCCAACTCATCACCTTTAAAGCCTTTCGAGACGATGAAGCGATGTTTGCTCTTGGAAAAAGTGTTTATTAAACGGTTCATGAAAGGTATGTTCAGAGATCCTGTGGTTCCCATTGACAAGTAAATCAATTTCCCAGACTGGTGGGTACTAAATGGTGGAACAATAAATTCCTTTGCATCTCGTTCACGAATAGAAGAGTCCATTCGGATCCAATTTGATGGCGGTGATCCTAACTCAGCATAGTCTAATGCCTTCGGGTAGATATAAATACCAAGAAATTTGTTCGAATCATAAAAAGAATATGTTTTTGTTCCAAATGAGGAATACCACTGAAAGTATTGCATGCCCGCGTCGTGCATACTTGATGATAATTTTTTTTGAACTGACCACAAACTTTTATCACTATGGATAGATAAACCTAGTGAAGCTGGAAATCCTGTTGTCTCCGAGTAAATTCCTAATGGATTGGCTGAGAACAAAAATATGCTTGGAATTGAGGATTGATAGAAGAGTGGAAGAGGAAAAAGAATATCACCAATCAGAATATCTGGTTTGATGGAGTCTATGATTTTTTCCAAACTTGACTGCATAAGCTTTAGCTGTTCAAAGAGCATCAACATAGCGGCAATCAAGCTTTTGTCTTCGGATGGCGAAGTTGAATTCAGTTGCATGCTTTGCACTATGATTTCCGTCCATTTACTATCGTTAGTCGTTTTCATTTCTTTATTATATGCATCGTTATAATCTTCAAGAGCAATGAATTTCAAACCGTATTTTTCAACTTCTTCTTTATGCTTCAATACATTGGCAAAATAAACATCATTACCACGTTCTGCTAGCAAGCTTGCAACACCAAGAGCAGCATTAAAGTGCCCATAACTTGTGAAAATAAAAAAGTATAATTAGTTAAAAATTTACATGAGATTGATATGATGATGGAAATCGACTGCAGCATACAAATATGATCGATAATTCAATTTAAAAATAGTTTCAATAACTGTATCATATGACTTACCCACTGACTGAAGTTACCAGAACTTTGATTGGACTATTTTTCATCTTGAATTTAGTAGCTGCACTGTTTGTTGGATTAATAACATTAATGGATTGAAAATGGGACGAGGATTGTTTTATAACCATTTTTGATATCATTTTGAAATTATCTGATTAGGTTCAAATATTGGTAAATAACATTTCAAAGATGCAAAGAAAGAGATGAGTCTCCCTTTTTAAAGGGATTTTTGTTGGTGCCATCTGCGATAAATCAACCCATTAGGAAACTTTTGAGAGATTAGACTGTATCTTATTGAAAACTCTGTCACATGAACGAGATCAAATGCACTGAAATACTTCAGCTTCATGCTTCTTTCACCAGCTTCACTAGATCAGCAAAGAAGTTAATCTATTGCATTATATAGCGCAATGTAATACTAATGATAAAATCGAAGATGTGAAGACGTCTTGGTGCTTAAAATCTGACTAATTCGGCAATCAATCTAGTAAATTAATCCTATGATACTTTTTAAACTTTGAACATACTCAAATGAAGCAAATTTTTCAAAATGAAATACCAATAGTTTCATGTTAAATAAAATATATAAAAAACTTGATAGACTTTTGCTTGATGAGTTCAGATTTTACTAGTTTAAATGACATTTTCCGGCTGAATTATCATAAATTTATTATTAAATTTGAAAACTAAACATCAGAATCATTAAAATTGAAAAACAGTCGAAAAGCCATTTCTATTGCTAATTGCTTCAATTTAATTTAAAATGGTGAAGTGAAAGAGTTTCTTTCTTGCGCCATCTTCTGACAACAAAAAAATTGTTTAGAAAACTAATTGTTTACTTAGGGTGAATCCGATCAAGAAAATTATTTAGATAAAAATTTTATTGAAATAAAATCTTTCAGTTAGATAAAAAATGTTTTTATCCAAACTAAAAACCAAGCTTTTTTCGTGAAAATAGCTGCGCTTTTTAGCTATTTACCTGGCTTTCTCTGAGTTTTTCCTTTTCTAATTCAAGAATAATAGTTTTTTTTAATTTTGTCTGATTTGGCTGGGTGTTAATAGCATTAAACTAATTAATGACAGATCAAAAACTAATTAAATTCAAATTTAAACTCAGCTCTACTACACCACGTTTTTCAATCAATGAAGGCGCAAGACAGCAATGTTAATAAAAATATGAGTTCGGAAAAGTTAAAAATGTGACGTAGTAAAAACGTCACACTTTTGTCACTCTTATCTTTTTTATTCACATTCCTCTCTTTTTATCTAAATAATTTTCTTGATCGGATTCACCTTTAATTGCATGTTTGAAAATAAGATTTTCTCGTGCAGGTTGGACCAGAATGTACATTGTAATTGTTTTTTAAAACTAACCAATTATTCATTGAATTGGATACTTTTTAGTTCTGGCAATGTTTTCAATCAATCTTGCCACTTCTCGGTTATTTGAAGTCTTCAATTGTTTTGAAATTTCTTCCATTTTTAAGCGAATCTCGGTATTTTCAAGTAAATTATCAACAGTCTTATGGACTTCATCTTCATCATATCCAAATGGATCGATTCTGTATCCAAGTTTCAAATCTTCAATCCTTTGTGCATTATCCAGTTGATCAAAGCAACACGGAATTACAATCATTGGTTTACCAAAGAAGAGCGACTCAACAAATGAATTATTTCCACCATGAGTTATAACCGCGTCAACTTTGGGTAAGATAGCGATTTGATCGACATAATTATCGCCCCACATGTTTTCAGGTAAAGTCAACTCATCACCTTTAAACCCTTTAGAGACGATGAAACGATGTTTACTTTTGGAAAAGGTGTTGATCAAACGTTTCATCAAAGATATGTTCAGAGATCCTGAAGTTCCCATAGACAAGTAAATCAATTTGCCAGTCTGATTGGTACTAAATGGTGGAACAATAAATTCTTTTGCATCCCGTGTACGAATCGAAGAGTCTATGCCAATCCAATTTGGAGGTGGCGATCCTAACTCAACATAGTCTAATGCCTTCGGGTAGATATAAATACCAAGAAATTTTTCTGAATCATAGAAAGAAGTTGTTATGATACCAAATGAGGAATACCACTGAAAGTATTTCTTGCTCACTTCTAGCAATTTTGATGATAACTTTTCTAAATGGCCTGACCACGTGCTTTTATCACTATGGACAGATAAACCCAGTGAAGCTGGAAATCCTGTTGTCTCCGAATAAAGTCCTAATGGATTGGCTGAGAACAAAAATATGCTTGGAATTGAAGATTGATAAAAGAGTGGAAGAGGAAAACAAACATCACCAATCAGAATATCTGGTTTGATGGAGTCTATGATTTTTTGCAAACTTGAATTCAATAACTGGAGCTCCTCAAAGATCATCGACATACCGGCAATGAAGCTTTCGTCTTCAGCTAAAGGTGAAGTTGACCTGAGTTGCATGCTTTTCACTACGATTTCCGTCCATTTACTTTCAGCAGTCGTTTCCATTTCTTTAAATTTATTGTCATAATCTTCAAGAGCAATGAATTTCAAACCGTATTTTTCAACTTCGTCTTTATGGTTCAATACATTGGCAAAATAAACATCATTACCACGTTCCAATAACAAACTTGCAACACCAAGAGCGGCATTAAAGTGTCCATAACTTGTGAAAACAAACAAACAACATAATAGTATAATTAGTTAAAAATTTACGTGAGCTTAGAGTTATGATGAACGAAAATATCAAATATGGTTCAGTAATTTACTATTGGTAAGGCAATTGAAAAATAATTTTTATTAACTGTATCATATGACTTACCCATTGATTGATGTTACCAGAACTTTGATTGGACTATTGTTCATCTTAAATTTAGTAGTAACACTGTTTGTTGGATAGAAAATGCAATAATGATTGAAGATGGAACGAGGTTGGCTTATAAACATTTTTATTATCAATATGAAATTATCTGATTTAATTCAAGAGATTACTTAATAAAACCTAAAAAGATGCAAAGAAAGAGACTAATCTCCTCCTCTTTAAAGGGATTTTTCTTGGTGCAATCTGCGATAAATCAACCCATTAGGAAACTTTTGAGAGATTAGGCTGTATCTTAATGAAAACTCTATCACATGAACAGATCAAATGCACTGAAATACTTCAGCTTCATGCTTGTTTCACCAGCTTCACTTAATCAACAAACAAGTTAATCTATTTCATTATGTATCGCACTAATCGATACTAATGATAAAGTTCATAAAATAAAAGATGCGAGGTCGTCTTGGTGCTTAACATCTGATTACATCTTAACATCTGATTCGGCAATCAAGTAAATTAATCCTATGATGGTTTTCAAACTTTGAACACACTGATGTCCAACCAGCTCCTTCAAATGAAACAAATTTTTCAAAATGAAATACCAATGTTAAATAAAATATATTAATATAAAAAACTTGATAGACTTTTGCTTGATGAGTTCAGATTTTACTAGTTTAAATGACATTTTCCCGCTAAATCATCATAAATTTATAATTAAATTGGAAAACTAAACATCAGAATCATTAAAATCAATTAAATTAATATTGCATGCAACGAAAGACAGTCAAAAAGGCATCTCTATTGCTAATACTTTTTTCTTGCAATCATTACATTGGTGTAACAATTAAACTTGATCGTCTGCTCGACTTCGAACCGTTTTTCTAGTTTTTAAGCAATAGATGGCTTCTTTCCTTTTGTAAAATTAAACGTTTAATTACTGTATTAATTGCTTCAATTTAATTTCAAATGGTGAAAAGAAAGAGTTTCTTTGTTGCGCCATCTTCTGACAATGAAAAGAAATTGTTTAAAAAACTAATTCAATTGCAGGCTCTTCTTCCTTTACTTTACTCTTTTCCTGAAAGTAAGTCAGTGATTTTAACTACATGGAACTGTGATTGTACTGAATATGTTCTCCTTCAGCATACATATTATAATTATAAAATATATATTGCTTGAAAGATTGACTGTATCCTTGTCATCCAATGTCGTCGCGTGTATTAAATATCTTTGATTGACCATCATTGTGCTGCTGCCTTACAAAGAACTTTTTAGTTGGATTTCACTTCTGATCAGCTCAACTGTCATGAATTAATAACAAGTATCGAATAAACTAGTAGAAATGAATTTTATTTGTTACACAGTGTATACAACAATAGAATCGATGATTTTCTGGTGCAGGTTGGACCAGAATTTACATTGTAATTGTTTTTAATACTAAACAATCATTCATTTAATTGGATACTTTTTAGTTCTGGCAATGTTTTCAATCAATCTTGCAACCTCTTCTCGGTTATTTGAAGTCTTCAACTGTTTTGAAATTTCTTCCATTTTTGAACGAATCTCAGTATTTTCAAGTAAATCATCAACAGTCTTATGGATTTCTTCTTCATCATATCCAAATGGATCAATTCTGTATCCAAGTTTCAAATCTTCAATCCTTTGTGCATTATCCAGTTGATCAAAGCAACACGGAATTACAATCATTGGTTTACCAAAGAAGAGTGACTCAACAAATGAATTATTCCCGCCATGAGTTATAACCGCGTCAACTTTGGGTAAGATAGCGATTTGATCGACATAATTATCACCCCACATGTTTTCAGGTAAAGTCAACTCATCACCTTTTAAGCCTTTAGAGACGATGAAGCGATGTTTACTCTTGGAAAAAGTGTTGATTAAACGCTTCATGAAAGGTATGTTCAGAGATCCTGTGGTTCCCATCGACAAGTAAATCAATTTCCCAGACTGGTTGGCACTAAATGGTGGAACAATAAATTCCTTTGCCTCCCGTATACGAATAGAAGAATCCATTCGAATACAATTTGAAGGCGGCGATCCTAATTCAACATAATCTAATGCCTTCGGGTAGATATAAATGCTGATAAATTTGTCCCAATCATGAAAACCAGTCATTTTGATCCCAAGTGTAGAAAGCCATTGAGCGTATTGCATGCCAACTTTCGTAAGACTTGATAACTTTTCACGATAAGCTGGCCACAAACTTTTATCGCTATTAACTGACAAACCAAGTGTAGCAGGAAATCCAGTTGTCTCCATATAAAGCGATGATGGATTGGCTGAGAACAAAAATATGCTTGGAATTGAGGATTGATAGAAGAGTGGAAGAGGAAAACAAACATCACCAATCAGAATATCTGGTTTGATGGAATCAATAATCTTTTGTAAAGTTGGATTCAACAGTTTAAGCTCCTCCACAATCATCATCAAAACGTTACTGTAGTGTTCGTCGTCATCTAGAGGTGAAATCGACTTGAGTTGCATACTTTTCACCACACTTTCCGTCCATTCATTTTCCATTTTAATTTCTTTATTATATGCATCGTTGTAGTCTTCGAGAGCAATGAATTTCAAACCATATTTCTGCACCTCGTCTTTGTACTTCAATAGATTAGCAAAATAGACATCATTACCACGGCTGGATAGTAAACTTGCAACACCAAGGGCGGCATTAAAGTGCCCATAACTAGTGAAAACAAACGAACAACGAAAACAATAATTTAATACAAAATTTACAAAAGCATGTCAAGACAATCAACTGAAACGAACAAAATCGCAACAGATAATTTAACTTAATAAATGTATTGTAACTATGACAATAACTTACCCATTGATTGATGTTACCAAAACTTTGCTTGGACTAGTGTTCATCATGAATTTTTTAGTAGCACTGTTTGTTGGATAAATAATACTAATGATTGAAGATGCAACGAGAGTTGCTTTATAACCATTTTCATATCATTATTAAACTATCTGATTTAGCTCAAGAGATTTTCAAGCGCCATCTAATATTTAATAACCGGCTCGTTATCGCAACTTTCGAGAGATTAGACTGTAACCTTTTCCTGTATTTAGTCACATAAACTAGAGCAAATGCACTGATGGCTCAATATTCGCGTTTATCAGCTTCATTTAGCTTTACCGAGAAGCTAATCTATTGCATAACAAGAATAAAAGATTAAATTCAGTTCTGGTGTAACTTAACATCTGTTTGCTTCAATCTGGTAGATTAGCTGAATGGTGATTACATGTTACAATGAATAAAATTTTATTCCAAAACTAATCGTTTCAAGTCACTCAGTGATTCGAAGAAGACCAAAGTCAATCGACAACAGGTTGTCACTTAAATCAATTCATTCAAATTCATTGCTATAAGAATGAATATTAAACCTGATGGTTGATCCAAATTGATTTGAATTTGAGGCAAAAATATCTCGAAATTGATTTGTCCAATTTTTGGGTTGAAAAAGAAAAGTTATGAAAAATGTTACAAGAATCTGAATTTATTCAGGTTATAAAATAAAACATGGCTATAGCAAGAGATTAGATCATATGCATATCAAATCATGTACATACAAGAGATTATCAGAAACGATTTTTAAGAAAGTTTCAATCTTAAACAGAAAAGGTTTTCATTTGCAAGAAACAAACCAAATGATTTCAATAGTTTGCTTATATTTCGTTATACTTCAGAGCAGCATTTGATTGTAGCAACTGGTTCACTTTTTGCTTTTAAATCAGCCTTTGAATACTTCCAATAATATCTCATGTTCAACGCCTTATCACGATAATTATCACATTCATCTGAGCGAGAATTGTATTTGGCATTTACTTGGTCACTCAACTGCTTATTCTTAATGGTGCAACAAATTTTGGATCCAAAAGTTGTACTATCATCTTCATTTGATCCCAGATAATCATTATCATTATCCTCATCAAGATCACCTCCATCCTCATCATCATCTGAATACTCGACTCCATTTGAACCAATCGACTTCATTGATTTCATATTGTCCATCAACCGGCCACTCTTTGAATAAATGTAACCATGAATATGATAATTATTATCATCATCAATCACATTATCAGTGTTGCTCTCCAAGTTGAGGTTGATGTTGTTCAAGTCAACATTGTCTTCATAGAAGCGACCATTTTCACTGTTATTGCTGCCCAGTTTGTTGTGTAAAACATTGTTTGAGTTGACATTTCGATTACTGTTATTACTAACATTGTTATTACTGTTATTGAGACTGTTGCTTCGATTATTGTCATTATGTTTACTGTTGTTGTTGTTGTTTGGACTGTTTTGATTTGAATATCTGTAGATGCCTCGACGACCGCCAAACCTTTGGTTGGGATTAAATGATTGGGAGCTTCGTTGGAGTCGATATTTAATTGTTTGACAGAGTAAAATGCGGCGAAAAGCTCGACGAAAGTTTCGATTAAAAATTGTATAAATGACGGGGTTAATGGTCGAGGAAAAGTAGCCCAACCAAAGGAAAATGGTTGGCAACGAGTTGGGCATTTGAATGTCGGTAAAAATTGCTTCAATCAGGTTGCGAGTAAAAAAGGGTGACCAGCAAATAATGAACAGGAAAAAAACTAGACCCAAAACTTGAGTTGCTTTCTGTTCTGTTCGAACCTGGACCGATGAACCAAGTGTGCGTATCATCATGGGCTGGGTATTGTAATGCTTTGATATTCGACTTCTGATTTCAGTTCCAAAATGACCTCTAAGTAGTGAACCAGTCGAGGAGAGCCGTTTACCCCTGAAAAGTTGATTAAAAAGGTTAATATGTTTAAGAAATTTAAGGTAAAAAGTTTCTCATTATTCTCATTATTCTCATTGATAATGCTATTGAGGAAACAGAGGTTTAGCAAGAATAACAGCAGTGGATTCAACAGGAAGATTTTATGAAACCTCGAGAAAACAACTTCCGGCTTTCAATCAGATTATGTTAAATCTGTCAAATTTGTATGCTACATTTTACGTAATCATTATTAGTTACAAATTGAGTAAATTTAGTCTGCAATTGAAAGTAAACATTGCAATAAAAAAGTAAATCATAAATAATTAGGTTATCTGTTACCGTGTGATCCAAGGAATTATCATCAAATTAATCGTACTAAGCCTTCGACAAGTTTACCGGAATACATGAATAGAACGAATTCACGTTTTTTGACCAGGAAATGAAGCAAAATCTATCGAGAAAAGTTCAAGTTTTCGACACTAGATGGTAGCAAAATCTATCTGAAAAACATTAAGTGAATCAAATTCAATTTTGGCTTTCAATTAAATTTTGAAATAATAACAATGGAGGAAACTTCGCTAAACTCGAAGCATTTCGGAATAAGCTTAAACTGTTTTCAACCAAAAGTATAGGTTTCGTGTCAATCTGTTTTTTACTGACGAGACTGTTTATTCGTGAGTGTCTGATCACAAATAAAAAAAATTTTCCAATGAAGACCTGAATGTTACATTCGCATCTTACATCTTACATCATATTATCGACATCTTTTTCGCTGCAATTTTTTTCATGACTGAATGAGAAAATTGATTTTCGAAAAGATTTTAATTATTTCCATTCCCAACCAAATTGATCAGGTAGAAGCATCAAAATTATGTTGAAAAATTGAAATCTAAACTTAAATTTTATTCACAACTCTTTGATGAAAGTTTCGCAACTTGGAAAGACTTTTGCAAATGAACCAGAAAAGTCATGAAAATAATATTCAAACTTTATCTTGACGAGAAGCTACTCAATTTTTCCACTTTGAATCCACTCTCCACTAAAAGATGTCAACCAACATTTCTTCAACTGAATGCAAAAAAGGTAATGTTCCTGGTTATGTTGCTGAGAACAAAATTCTAACATTGAATTTGAGATTGGGTTGATAATTACTTACCCTAAATGATTATGATTGGTCTTCCTTTGAAAGTCATCAGCTCCATCCGATATTGAATGTAAACTGCGAGTTTTCGAAGTAAAAGTATTCTTACATTTTCCCGTATCAAAATCCTTTTTGCAATAATTTTGATTCCCCGAAGAACCTAACCAGAAATGAAAAGCAAAATGTCAAAAGATGAAACTTTCTTTCAAAGTGTCTCAAAGACGCTCAAGTGAATCATCAAAATTTTTGCAAACTTTAATCAAAAAATAATTAGACAAATGAACCAAAATTGAGTTTCATCTTTTACCAAACTTGCAAAATCGTAGATCAAAGGACATTAAAAGGAAAAAAGTTAACAAATGACTAAACAATAAAATTATTGCGAGAGTTATAATTAGATATAAAATATTCGATATGAATAGTCTGTTTTGCTTGCGATCCTAATGATAATTATGGTAAACTGAAGAAAGAGAAAAAATGATTCAAGCAATTCTCTTATTCAATCTCTTCATTCCCTGTCTTATTCGCCCAACATGATAATGGAGAGCAACATTGACTAATTTACTTTGAAGAGAGAAAAGAAGAGAAGGGAAAAGATTCAAGTTGATGACATTTTATTTACTCTCATTTAGCATTCGCCATACAGCATGTGCTAATTACAGTGATTAACTTGTTGGCACAATTAGTTTAGCCTAATTATGCCTAATTTTGCGGTTCAATTGTCAGTCCATAAAATAGACAAAGTAAACCAAAGAATAATCTAAATGTCTATTTAAACATGTTTACATGATAATTTTATTCAAATGATGAACTGATAAGGAAGGAGAGAAGGCAAAGAGAGAACTGTAAAAATGCTAGAAAATGGATAAACTGTTTTGTCTAATGGAATGAAATAAATGTAGACTTTCATCTTACAATATTTATCATCATCTCACGTAAAGTCGATTCAATTTTTCATTCCATTTCAAATTGTATTTGAGCAAATTAACGTGATCAGAAACAGCAATATAAACTTGGTCAACATTCACTTTCACCTTTTCCCAATCATATTCAATTCGTTGGATCAACTTTTGACAAACAATTTCTTCTTTCAATCTTTCATTTTTCTCTCTGAATAAATCACATTATCAGATGAAAACTTTGAAACAAAATTCTATCTCGTAATTTCAAGTTTCATCTCAACGTTGCGTTTCGCCTTGATGAGTGAAAAATGAGAAAATATTAGTTTCTTTTTTTTGAAACATTTACTTATGGCTTGTCAATGTGAGGCAATGTAAGCAAACAATTTATTGCAACATTGAAACTCAACTTTTCTCGTTGGAAGCTCGATTCGTAGGAATGTGCAAAGGTTAACAATACACCAATTTGTACCATTTACACCTTCGATTGACTTATTAGCTTATTTATTTCTATCACATTAATGGTGTTGATATGATATTTATAATAATGATTAATATTGGCCTCATTACTATCGTAAGTGTTTACTCATTATTGTTATTACCTTTACTAACGTTTAATTTATTTTTCCTTTTCTTCTTCTTTTTTCTTCTGTTTACCTTCATGAAAAATGTATCCAAGTTGAAGATGATGATGATATTTGTTATCAATTTACCTGAATATTTTCCATTATCACCTTGATTCTCATGAGATTTTCTGTTGATTGAACTTCTCGCAGATGGAGGCCATTTTCCATGTTCACCAGAGTTTTTACAAAATTTGGCTTTACGCCTCAACAGGCGAACAGTCAATACATAACTGTTAACCATGATTATCATTGGAAGGTAAAAGGCACTGAATGCTCCTAAATGAATGGAAAAGGTAAACAATTTTAACATTTTAATGAAAAGAGAAATTTTTAAAAGAAAAAGAATTCGACAAAATTTGTTTAATATATTCAATGTACTTGCCAATTATGAGAAAATATTTATTAGAAATTGAACAAACGGCTGATTCAGGCATAATATTGGACGAATCTGCAATGCCGAGTATGGTTATTGGACTCGTTATTAGGGCCGCAATCAACCAGACAAGGACAATCTTGAAGAGGACTGCTCGTCGAGAGACCAAAAGGCGAGCTTGACGAGCATGCAATGGATTCTTGATGCCCACATAGCGACCCACGCTTATGAAGCACATGTGATAAATGGAAGAGCTACAGCAAAGTACATCACAAGTGACCCAAAAGTTGCAGGTAAGTGTCCCAAAAGGCCAATATCCTAATGGAAAAAGAAAACCAAATTGATTATAATCGACTTTTTATTTTACAAAAGTGGAGGAGGAAAGCGTTTCAAGATTAAAGATGCTAAAATAATGATTCCAAGGTTTTCCCTTTAACCTTTTATTTCGAAAGTTCAGGGAATTCATTTTGAATTTTAACCTTTCCTTTCTAAAGAAAACGCTTCTTCACCCTTGTCGTTTTCCCCTAATAAATGAGCCAACATGGTAACATTATAAAACCACATGAAAATCTATCAATAATGAATTGAGAAAAGAAGGCAAAGAATGTAAGACCAATGAAATGTAATAAAAGCTATGAATCAGGAAATGAAATTAATCGTTCAACATTAGTTGGTTTCCATTCATATTGACAATTGTTAAATCGTTACAAGAAGAGTTTCATTTTTTCATTGATTTTCTTTTCATTTCATTCATAATTTAAACACTAAGTGGTATTTAGTAAATCCTATTTCTGTCTTTTCTTTGCTATTCAAATGCTTTTCAAGCTTTCCAAAAGCAACTTAAATTGTTTAAATATTGAACAGAAAAAGATTGTGATTATGAATGAAAAATCGCGAGGTTGAACAAAATTTCAAAAGTCAATTTAAAGAATTCCAAAAATTGTTCTAAAATGGAAAAATCGACGAAAACGACATTGGATGAAATTTCCATTTCCTCATTTAATCTATATCATATGAAAGAATGCAATTTTTGACAAGTTGGATTGCAGATGGAACCAATTCTGGTGCAAATGAACTCGAAATTTGTTGAACATGAAAAAAAAACTGATTAGCATTTAGAGGCAAATGAAATGATAATAATGGGAAAAGAGAGTAAATGATAACATGAAAAGTAACAAAAAAGGGAACATTTAGTCTATTATCAGTTCATTTGGAACGCATAATTGAACCATTGCAATATTCAAATGAAAAGGTATTATCATGAACATTGATAAACTCGAAATGAGATTGATTTATTGATGCAAACAAGCTCAATGTTTATCCTTGTTTCAGTTTCATTCCTTTTCTTGGTCACTTGCATCGATCCCAACGATAATTGTTACCGTTGACCTGCATGAGACTCATTCTTTTCCCCTTATCTCATCATATTCATGATCGATAATTTGCAAAACTTTTGCCTGTTCATCAAGCTCGACTAATAAGATTGCAAGAAATCAGAGGAAAGCAAAGGCAAAGAGAGAAATCGGGAAAATCGTTTTATTACTATTTAATTAAATGTACTCTTATCTGGTCCAATTAATGGTTAAATGGTTACGATTAAAGATTGAACAAGTTTTTTCTTCTTCTTCTAATGTTGAACCAAATTCATGGGTTCATGCTAATAGAAGTTGTTTCTTTTGCTTTTTGTGTTGCGATAAAGAATGTTTTATTCAATAGAAATGAACATTTCTAATTATGTGACAACTGCATTAACATTGTAGAGCAATTATTTTCTTCTTTTTTTCAGTTTATTCATTTTTATCCGCACAATTGAATTGATAGCAATGAAAATCTCATTATTAGTGTTTAAACAGCACAAATTGGAGGAAAATGTTCAACTCTCATGTTAGCCAATTTGAGCATAACTTGCAGCTTTATTGGAAAACATTTATTCATAATAACATTAGTTTGTTCAACAGATTGAAAGCTCATGGCTCAAGTTTACATTTATCACTCAATATTATTATTATTCATGGAAAAGTTGCAGAGACAAATAATGTTGACTTTACATTCAAATTTGCGTCCCAATTTCAATGTTGAATCAAAGAGAGCAAATTTTAATTCAAAATGTTCAATCATTATTTCATTCAATAACATGCAATTTCAAAAGTAATTTACAAAATTCATATTTCATATTCATTTTGCCTCATGAAACTGCAACAAGAATGAGCATTCTTTCAACATTTTAATCAAATTTTAAATGAGTTACAACAAAAAATTCCAGTCAAATTTTTCCTTTTTTCAGAAAATATATTAATATTTGCAAGGCGAAATTTTTTTAGAATGAGATTAAAAGCGAAATTCAGGAATTGCTCATGAATCGAGATTCATCAGACTGATATTGAATGGGGATCGCGTATCAAATAGAAAAAAGAATTTTCGATTCATAAAGGCCGGAGACCGAATTCATAGGAAAAACTATCGAAGAATTGAATTTTCTTTAAAATCGAAAAAAAATTGTACAATTTTATGTCAACCTCAAAAATCTATTTAGACCTTCTCCGATCCACACTCTGCTTCAAAAGTTTTCAAAGTGATTAACTTGTCCGAGCAACCTTCTAACCTCAAGCTATCTTGACCAAAAAATTCAAATCAATCGAAGCAAAAATAAAGAAATTATTTGCTCACAAAAATTTGTAACATAATTTCTTTCCCCAGGTAATGTGCAAATCTAATTTTCGTCCTTTATCCTTTCATCGAAAATTTTCATTCCAATAATCAAACTTGAATTGTATTGTTCATAATGATTATGAAAGATGCCTAAAGAACTCGAAGTTTCCTCTCAATAGAGATTGATCTTTTTCTTCTCGCCAAAGCAAAAACTAAAAATATTCACCTTTCCTTTAACCTTTCTGATTAACTCGATGAAAATTTTGATCTCTTTTGATATTAGTAAATGTTGACCAGAACCAGAAAGATCGCGTAATCTTTTGATTTGAAACTTCAATTAGCTGTTCATGTTAACAGACTAAAGGTGAACAAAGGACTTAAAGGCAACTTAACCAGGTTATGCTTTTAGCTTGGTAGAAGATGCTTTCATCTGTTCAATATTATAACATTATTAAACTTGATTGAAACCAACAAAACCAGAAAAAAAACCAAGAGCATTAAGTGTTATTTAACACTTTTGCTTCCTTTGGCTAATATCGGTCAATAATTGAATGTTTGACTGGACGATAATAGACTATAATTGAACATCACTGCGAAACAGCATTCATTCATCAAATGAAAATTTTCACCTCTCATCATTACTATCATCATTAGTGTCCAAAATGATTTCAGATAAACTTTTTTATTCCAGTTAAAGTAATCATTAATAGTAATTCATTTTTTGTCTCATGTCCATTTCAATGGTTGGTCCAAGCATCAAGAAAAAAACGAGAAAAGCCAAAAAAATTACTTTTCTCGACACTTTTGTTTTCTCCATTTCCCTGTCCTTCCCTGGTTTACACAAAGTTCAAGTACTTGAAAGGTATTATTATGATTCCACTGATATTATCCCATATTAAGAGTAAAAATTATGAACCTTTTTATTTCCTTTTCAAACTCAAGGTAATTTTATTGTGACAAATAAGTGTGACATTTGATTATTACGATTCCATTATTGCTACCATTACTCAGTAAATGATATTTACATATTTTTCCCTTTACTTTTGCTTCGCTTTCCTTTGACTTGCAAGTTGTCGAAGTTGAAACTCGTCTTTTCTGGGAAACGCAAAAATCGATTCAAACGTTTTAGTCGCAAACTGATCAGTTTTTTGTAAAACTTTGAGTTCACTTTTTCACCTTTTCTCTGGAAATAAATTTATTGAATTGAAAAGTTTTGATTGCTATCAGTTTGACAAGAAGATGAAAGATGCTTAATTCATTTTTCGTTTCATTTTTTGTCTGCTTCTTGTCCTGAGCATATTTTTTTAGTTCAGTTATTCAACTTTTTTTTCAATGAAAATGATACAAAATTTTATTCCTCATTTCTCATATCTACTTTATTAATGACCTTTTCATGAAAGTAAAAAATGTCGACTTGAATGCTCATTTGTATATCAGCAACATCAATCAATCTTGTCTTTTGCTCAACATTTTCATTTTTCAACTTTTCTTCTGTTCAACTTTTTCTCCATCAAAATTTGAAAACTATTGACTAGGTGAACATGAATGTGACTCCAAGGTGAGTAAATTGATGAAAGGCAAACATAATGTTAACAATGTTGTTTCACTTTTTTTTGTTCCCAACACTAGAGTTGACTTTCGATATTGACAGATCAATATACTTCTGATGGATCAATGTACATCTGACCAAGAATTGGAAATCATTACAAATTCAAGGTTTAACCATAAACTATTCCAAATGCCAATCACATTTGACTCGAAACTTTACTGTAAAATACTTTTCAACTCGACTGGTTCAACTTTTGCGAAACTTTTTCAATTTTTTTACCTTCATAATTCATTATCAACTTTCAATTTGATTTATTGGAATGCAAAACTTGGGAAAACAAAATATTGGTTTAACCCTAAATGAGACTCTATTTCATGCATCACTATTTGTCGAAGTTGCTGGCAAAAGGAATGTTCAAAAATGATCGAAAAGTAAAATTGTCGACTTAAACGATTTCATCAAACATGAAAAAATTGTCATCAAACTGAACAACTTTTCACTTGACTAGATTCAAGTGTTTTATCAGCTCTGGTGAATATCGTTTTTCCCTTTTTTTTGCTATTTTCCTGGTTTTCCTTGTGAAATCGACAAAAACAGAATGTCTTTTTTTTGCTTACATCGAGTTTCATCGAACGTAATCTTGAAATGAAACTTTCATCTGAAGAGGATCGAAGAAGGTAAGAATGATAGAGAGGTAAGAATAAAGTAAAAAGGACAAAAAAATTGGACCAAAGACAGAAAAGATTGATTTCCTTTCAATGCTCGAACACAACGAAACAAAAAAAATTTGCACAAAAGATGCAAAAATTTCTTCTCATTTTTTCTCCACTTTTGTCCAAATGTTCATCTCGATTGTTTCTTTGCTCATTCACTGATATTTCATTTTTTCACCATTTGGATGAAACTAAATTTCACTTTTATTCAATCATTTCATCTCTTTTCACTCTTCCTTTTGCTCATTTGATTTTCATCCGATTTTCAGGGCAAAGTCTCGAGCATTTTTTTCTTCACTTGCTGATCAAATACACTGCGGTTCAATCACATTCAATCCTTCAATTTTATTCACAACATGAGAAGATGCAAGGAATGGGGAAAAAATTTCTTCAACTGATTTTCTCTT